TACTTCTATGGCTGTCCCTGAGCAATTGACATTCATTTACACTTCTTTTGAAGTAATATTAAACTATCAAGTTAGTAATCAATTATAGTACTAGAGTCTGTACAGCTAGGTACCATTCTTTTGAATGCTTTTTTTAATTGGTGGTCATCTGATGCAATTGAATCCTTTAGTTCACTGAATTCCTGCTCAGGAAAGGCTAGACTAGATGCTGTCCAAGTTCCCTTCGAATCCTAACATTCTATGATCCACTGAATAGGATTGTAGCAATAGGAAGGTAGGATGTTTTGAAGTTTAAAGTGAAATAATAAAATATTTTATTAAACAAGTGAGTACAGGTAGTCCTCAACTTACAATGGTTCATTTTGTGACCATTCAAAGTTACAACGGCACTGAAAAAAACCCGACATGACAGTTTTTCACACTTATGACAGTTGTAGCATCCCCATGGTCACATAGTCAAAATTCGTACGCTTGGTAATTGACTCATATTTATGATGGTTGCAGTGTCCTGTGGTACTAACTTAATAAGTACAATGATTCACTCAACAACTGGGGCAAGAAAAGTCATAAAATGGGGCAAACTCACTTAACAAAGATTTCACTTAGCCACATAGATTTTGGGCTCCATTGTGGTCTTAACTTGAGGACTACCTGCATGTGAAATATTTTCAAGTATGTAATAATACAATAATCTTCCTAAATAAAAACATATTACTTCATATGCAAAGATTGTTTTAATTATGAAAAAATAATCTAAGAAATTAAAAAAGAAATCTCGTCCAGAATACTTAAGGAAAAGAGTGCAGCACAAGGCCTATGCAAGCAGTTTTGAGTTAAAGGCCAACACAAAGTTTATTAAGGAGACATATATACTCTGCAGTGTTTATAAGTAGATGGCAGTTGTAATCAAGTGTAATTAAAGCAGCAATAATTACTTTTCTGGCTTCTGGTCTGCCAGTTGCTTTAGGATATTCTACATTTCTGACATATCCATGCCAATTCCCCTTAAAATAACATTGATTTTTGCTGATCGTGAAATGAAAAGAATACCGTAAGCCAGATATTGTTCATTTTTTTCTTTTTTCAGCTCACCAAACAGAAAGTGCAAAAACTGTTAGAGGTTTTGCATTTAAAAGCCTTGTTATTTGTAATGCTGACATAATAGCAGTATCAATCATTCTGTTTCTCAACAGCTGTGACCATGCTTGCTTATTGCTTAACTTAGATTTGGGAAGTGAGGGGATGACTTCTAATCAGTGCATGCAGAAATAGATACATTTCAGGAACAAGAAACTGAAAAAGAAAATCCTATAGATGAAGTGAGGCAAGCACTTCTTCCATTAGAAAAATGAAACCCTCACGAGATCTTTAGAGCCACAGTAATGAGTGGAAAATAACAATTTTCCTGATTTCCAATAATCCAAGGCAGAATCAGAAGTGCATATATTCAGCTCATAAAAATAAAACATCTCCTCATTCAATCACAAAGTTCTGCAAACTATTAACATGCAAGGATCTTCTAGTAGCATTCAAATGAAATTTGCTAGCAGAGACATACCAGGGCAATGGAACAGGGGCACTGCTTAATCAACCAATTCCTGAACTGAAACCGAGCTTGTGCAATAGTGTGTCACACTCATTTTGTCCTGATTTTACCTTTGTCCTTTCCATGCAGCTACTCCAGGTTACTTAAAAACTATAAGAAAACTCAATTGCAACATTCTTTTTAAATTCCCCCAGCCTCTATTGACATTGTAACAATACAAACTGCCTTTCTCTGCAATCACCTGAAGAAAAATCTGAAATGTTACAAAGTGACATTTGACACATTTAAAAATGGTCTGTGATCCATGAGTACATTGAAAAAGCATTCAGTTCTAGGAAGGCACCCTTAGGATTGGTGGATACTCAGATTATGATCATTGTAGATCAGTGATAAAATCCAAGTTGCTCTTCCATGAACAACTCAACAACAACAACAACAAAATATTAGGTTTTCAAATATTCCAAGTAAAGTTTCACAGGCTTGCTTCTAGTGATACTCCGAGGAAGTCATTACAGCAGGAAAAGTTCATGGAGATGTGTGAAATACCAAGTAGAAACCATAATCACAGGGCACACTTAAGGCGTTGGTGTTTGAAGTTTAATAAGTTTTAATCACTTAAGGCCTGATTATCTCAGTAACCATCCCTTCCTTGTTATGAGCCATCAAGAATGGCAAAGAAGTCCTTTTGAAGATGCCACTGCTTTCCGGGTTCCATCCTTCCTAAGGCACAACAGGGCTATTTCATTCCTTCATCCTATGCTAAAAAGTAGTATTATAGCAGTTTTGTTACAGTCATAGGTCAATTATTATGAAAGCAGGGCAAATATCTAGAAGGGCGTGAACATTTATGCACAAAAGGTAAAAATAATAGAACAGTAAAATTCACAATGATATTTTAAATGAAATGTTCTTTCCTATAATACAGGTCCATTTGTAATGACAGCAGTTAAAAGGCCAAGTCCCCAAACAGCTCTATAGCAATAATATAGGATTTAGCTACTGATCTGGGGTGGGTGGGATCCCAAGTCTTTTCATATCTATGGCCCAAATAGCATCTTATGGAGGTAACTTAGAATAGAATAAAATAGAATAGAATAGAATAGAATAGAATTAATTGGAAGGGACCTTGGAGGTCTTCTAGTCCAATCTCCTATTCAAGCAGGAGACCCTGTATCATTTCAGACAAATGGTTGTCCAGTCTCGTTTTGAAAGCCTTCAGTGATCGAGCACTCACAACTTCTGAAGGCAAGCTATTCCATTGGTTATATTGTATTCTGCTTCACAGAAGGCAAGGCAATATACTCCCCATCTAAACCAACTCAAAGAATATACATTCTTCAAATACGTACTTTTCATCCCACTCTGAGTAGATCTTAAAACTGTGGTATTTCTTGAACTAAATGGACCCCGGTACATCTCCTATCCAGAACCTTTTCTGCATCTCATTCAGTGTATGACCATCAGTTCAGTCAGAATAGAGCTGGAAGCGACCTTGGAGGTCTTGTAGTCCAACCCTCTGCTCAGGCAGGAGACACTAAACCATGAGTTTAATGTCACACGACATGTCGCAACATATTGCGACTTTTTTTGCATTGCCAGAACTGGGGTGAGTGCAACCTCTGCATGATGTAACTGGCCCATGGGCCTGCAGTTTGACACCCCTGCACTAAACCATTTCAGACAGGAGGCTGTCCAGTCTTTTCTTAAAAATCTCCAGTGATGAAGCACCCACAACTTCTGAAGGCAAACTGTTCCACTGGTAAATTGTTCTCACTGTTAGGAAATGTGTCCTTGATTCCAGGTTGCTTCTCTCCTTAAATAGTTTCCATCCATTGTTTCTTGTCTTACCTTCTGGTGCTTTGAAAAATAAGTTGACTTCCCCTCTTCTTCGTGGCAGTCCCTCAAGTATTGGAATATTGCTATCATGTCAACCCTAGTCCTTTTTTTCCTTTAGATTAGATGAAACAAGCATATTTTGGAATGTTCCTCCTTTTTTTAACCAACTGCTATTGCTTCTGGTAAAAAAAAAAAATGACTAGGAAATTCCTACTTCAGCAATGTTATTAAAACAGTTTTACTTTCAGTTTTACTGCATGGTTTTCAAAGCGTACTTTAAAATAATTTCCCTTTTTGAACTGTCCTTTTGATCTTTGTTTTGCAACCAGAAATGAGTCAAATGATGTCTGCAATGATACAAAATGTTCTGTTGCCAGAGATCACAGTTCAGATTCTGGATAGCTAAAATATTTGGGAGTGAAACTTTATGAGTTAGTGAGTTTTTATAGGTTTCATACAATGATTTCTTCCATTTCTAACCAATTTTTTTTTCTGATCAGTTCAGTAAGATAGGAAGGACTGTTGCTTCACAGTGTATTTTGATCAGCAGGACAAAGACCTCTTTGCTCGGCAGCAGCCCAGATTTCCGAAGTTCTTCACAAATTACACAGCAAAGATCTTTAAGTACTAATCTGCTGGTATTACAAGGAAGCTCTTAGAACAGCATTTCAAAGGCGGACTCAGGGTTTACCTGTTTTAGGATGCAGAGACTTGAGAGTGAAAAAGATCAGGGCTAAGCCTCTACAAAATATCCTGCCATTCCTTCCATTACACAGACACACACACACACACACACACACAGCTGATCGCGAAAAAGACTTCCAAGGCAGGTTCAGATAAAATGAAGTTTATTTTCCAAATGTGACATTTCCACACACAAACACAAACCCCTCGCAATACACCGAGGCTGCCTTCACACAACTTTTGCTATAATGTTTCACCTTCCTTTCACCCTGCCCTGCCTGCAGTGAAGGGGAGAATGGCATAGAATAGAATAGAATAGAATAGAATAGAATAGAATAGAATAGAATAGAATAGAATAGAATAGAATCTGGAAGGGACCTTGGAGATCTTCTAGTCCAGCCCCCTGCTCAAGGAGGAGAACCTATACCATTTCAGACAAGTTGTTGTCCAGTCTCTTTTTAAAAACCTCCAGTGATGGAACGCCCACGACTTCTGGAGGCAAGCTGTTCCACTGGTTAATTGTCTTCACTGTCCTCCTTAATTCCAGGTTGCTTCTCTCTTTGACCGGTTTCCAACCATTGTTTCTTGTCCTGCCCTCTGGTGTTTTGGAGAATAGTTTGACTCCCTCTTCTTTGTGGCAGCCTCTCAAATACTGGAATACTGCTATCGTGTCACCCCTGTTTCTTCTTTTCTTTAGACTAGCCAAACCCAAGTCCCGCAGCCTTTCTTCGTATGTTTTCGTCTCCAGGCCTTGGGGGGGGCTTTTGCGATTAGGCAGCGGGTGACTAATGGGCTTCATTAGCCTCCCTCCAAAACAAAACCTTCCCGTCCCAGTCCTTGGAAGGGAGGCGACCTTCACCTGTTGAAAGCCATTCGCGTCAGCCCTTTGGAGGCGCCAAAAAGGGAGCCCCAACCGACCCGCCTCCTCGTTCCTTTCCCTCCTTCCGCGCCCTCCCCTTCCTTTCCCTTTCCCTTCCCTGGTGAGGGCGGTTCACTTGCCTCTACCCCGCCTTCCCTCGCCTCCTTGGCTCTTTCCCGCGTTGCCATTTGCTCGCGAGCAGCTGAATTTCTTCCGGCGGGCTTCGGCTGGGTTCGTGAGATTTGACGGCGGGGCTCGGCTAGGAATCGACGCTGTCTCCGCTCGGGAGTCACCGGCGGAGCGGGGTGCACCGGGGGCGCCGTGAGTACCCACAACCTCAAAAGCGCGCGCGGATCCCCGCTGCCTGTCCCAGCCTTAATTCAGCAGCAGGAACGGCAGCCGGCCGCTTAATAAAGGAGAATCGCCAATCCATCTAAACGATGCACCGAATTTCTGGGCAGGGAGGGAGAGGAAAAAGGGGGCAGGCGGAATTTTACGAATTTGGAGTTTATTGGATATAGAGAATGTATAATTAAAAATAAGAAAAGCCGCCTCTAGGCTTGCGTGCACTTACCCAGAGCCCCGAGATTGTGCCTGCCTCTAACACGCTTCTCTCACCCTACCCCAAAATGAATGCCGGGAAGAGAAGCGGGGATGTTTCTTCTGAACCAGGATACCTTATGAAATGGTGCAGGATGTCCCAAGACCACCACCCCCTCTCTCTCGCCGCTTGACTTCTCTGGTAGATAGCCCCCCTCTCTCCCCTCCCCGGGTATTTTAACGCGTGTATGCTCAGAAAATCTATTTCCAAGGACACGTGTCGAGAAATCGGCGTCGGAAGAGGGAAGAAAATTAGGGAAAGGTGAATTTGGAGGCCATTTGGTTTCATGCGGTTCTGATTTGATGTTAAAGAAATGCAAGAGATAAGATTCTTGAATGATGACTATCCGGAAAAAAAATACGCCGAGTTGCATCTGGCTGTAAGCCTGTGCGTTGGTGTGTGTTTGGAAGCCCACAATTGGCCACACCGCTAGAAAGAAAGGGAAGGGGAGGCAAAGTCGTTTGCACAGGCAACCTAGAAAATGACACATGAAAGCCATAAAATAGATTTTTCTCTACCGAGTCCCGGAAACGGATAAGAGAAGGGCACTGCAGAGGAAAGAACTGGAGAGGTTGGAAGCTGCTGTGCTGGCAGAATCCGGTGTCAGTGTTAACATCTGGAAATGACTGGGAAAATGATGAAATATCTCTCTTAAGTTACGTGCAAAAGATGGCTGCTCTGATGAGGAGGCTGCCTCAGCAATAGGCATTGTCCACAGGCTATAGTCTGTTGCTAGGTTACATCAGGATTTGTCTTCCCCACCACCACCACCACCCTCCTGACATACACCATGAACATAAATGCATCTTGTTGATGTTTCTGATCCCCGATTCCCACTGGTGCATATGCTTCTCCTGATGCATTGTGGGGAAGCTACAGGAAAATCTGCTGATGCAGTTAAATGGCAGAACAAGCAGATTTCAATGAAAAATGAAGTGGCAACATATTTTCCCCCTTAGCATACACATGCACACACAGACCCTCACTGTATGTAATGGTGTGTGGTGCTGTCCTTATCTGTTACCTGGGCTCTAAATGGAGACTGGCTGAGCGATTACACACAGAATAGTTTTGTTCTGTTGATACACAGGGAAATCTAGAGCTCCCATCTTCAGAACTCTGAATGATACTTTTACCCAAACTATTGTTAAGGATGGCAGGGCTGGGAGAGATTTGTTCAAGAAAGCAAGTGCCTTTGGGGCTTTCAGTGAACCTGCAGTGGAAACTGTTGCATATCCCTCATTATCCTTGTGACTGTTTCATGTAACATTTCTAGTGTTACTGAATCATTTATCTGTGACATAATGGCCAAAACTCTTCATATTAATAGGTTAGAAGTTTGTTTTTTCTTCTTTTGGTTACCCCAGAAATCATTGTGGTAGCAAGGAAAGGTCTCTGTGATGAGCTTCAGTTGTTACTTCAGTATCTTTCAGTCCACAATTAGCTTAGTTGGACCTGATTAATTTACATTCTGCATAATTAAATTTGACTAGATAAAAAGGTCATTATTCCATCCTTGCCCAGTAGAGCAGCTTTCCTTTAACCATTGGAATTGCAATTCCTAATATATGTAACCCAATGAAGCTGATGATCAGACTGTTAAATTTTCCCTACAGGCTGCTCTAGATTACTGCAGGCTACTTACAACATCTGATGCATCTAAAACAGTGGTTCTCAACCTGTGGGTCGGGACACCATTTGGGGTCGAACGACCATTTCACAGGGGTCGCCAAACAACACAGTCTGCCATTTTTTCCCCCTTTTCCTTAGCTGTGCTACTCCCTTTTATTCTATTGGCCTTTGAAAGCCAATAGAATAGACTCTCTTGAATAGAGTCTAATTCTATTGGCTTTCAAAAGCCAATAGGAATTGTCCAGGCTGTCTCTGCCCTGCTGAGCCCGTCAAAAGTCCCATTCTGCAAACGGTGCTGAACCAGCTGAGTAGTCCTCGACTTACGATCGGTTGAGTAGTCCTCGACTTACAACCAGTTGGGGGTCGCGGCATTAAAAAGGTTGAGAACCACTGAACTAAAATATATTCTGTGGTCTTCTGATAGGAAGCCAATAATGCAAGTAACAGGCCTGTGAAATTTTAATCATCATTATCAACAAAAATATCTAAACAGAAACATCTGTGTTTCAAATATTGAATTGTCCAATGTTATTATTATAAAGCAACGCGTAATTAATATGCACAACCCGATTTCAAAATTTTGCAATATAGGAGCATATTTCACTAGAATTAAATGATATAGAAAGCAATAGGTGATTCACACATGCTCTCTCTTTGTTTGCACATTACCTTTCTTAAATTCAACAGTACAAGGAGTAAGGGATTTTGTATTCAAGGCATGGTGCATCACAACAGATTTCTTATTTATTTTTAATTATTAAAGAAATTATATAACTGCCCAACTTGTGCAGGTGATTTTATTTTTTTTTAAAAACCCACTATATAATAAAAACCCATCCCATCTCTTCCCCACTCCTCCACCCCTTGGCAGCAACAACACAAATCAGTCTTTTGATTGGTACTCAGATCCTTTCCTGGTACTCAGGCATGCCGACAAAATTAGATTTTAAGGGCCTTTTGGAAAAGCAACAGGGTGGGAGCCCATTATACCTCAGGGGAAATGATATTCCATAAAGAAGGGGCCACCACTGAGAAGGCCCTTTTCTTTAGCCCTCATACACCAGGTTACAAAACAGTACTTTTATTTAAACAAGCAAATGTAAGTAAAGAAATCCGTGGGTGGGAGGGAAATCAGTGGTAAATGCAACACACTGAAGATGAAATGCAGAGGCTATTGCCTGTTTTTGAGTACATAGAAAGCCCCAAAATTAGTAAGAGCTGGAGGGAGGCAGAGAATGGAAAAAGGGAATACATTTGGAAAAATTGAGAGCTTCAGAGCTGCTGAGAGAAGGATTAAAAAATATTTAGAAATAAAAACAAGTCACAGAAATAATACATAGGGATCAGAAAATAGGTTAGAAAGAGTCACAACCAAATTTATATCCATTCACTATAAATTCAAAGAGAGGAATATCAATAAAATACTGATCTGTTTTTTTCTTTTATCTACACTACAGTCCTAGAATAGTAGATTGAACTAGCAGGACATAAATATTTTTGACCCTCATTATGTGTCACATTACTGTGCAAAAATAATGTGTTTTCATTTTTTAAAAATAACTTTATTAAAAGTTTTAAAAATGAAAATTAAAAAATAATAGAAAGTAATATAAAATTTAAAAAGAAAAAGAAATCAAAGAGAAAGTTAAAAGTGCAAAAAAGAAAATAAAAGAAAAAAGAAAGTGCTTCCAGACTTCTTTACCGTTATACCTCTTTATCTGGAATTACAACATGACTCTGTTCTTTCTATAAACTATCCCAGTGATGGCGAACCTTTTAGAGACTGAGTGCCCAAACTGCAACCCAAAACTCACTTATGCATTGTCGAGTGCCAGGTGGGTGTGGCCCATTGGGTGGGCATGGCCCATTGGGTGGGCATGGCCCATTGGGTGGGCGTGGCTGTGGTGGTAATGGCAGAGTGGGTGGGACTAAAAAGTTCAATCAATTCCAACTTTGTGAGATCTTTTTTCCCCCGCGAGAAGTTGAAATTGACTGATTGATTGAACCTTTTTTTTGCACACAGTGGCGTAGGCCTAAAGCGAAAAGGTTTTATAAAACCCAGCTGAAGGCCTAGGACTGGGGCGACAGCGCGCATTTCCACAGAGAGGGCTCTGAGTGCCGCCTCTGGCACCCGTGCCATAGGTTCGCCACCATTGAACTATCCTGTCTAATCATCAAAACCCTAAACCTTTCTCCCCTTTTTTATGCAAAAAAAAATACATAGACGTTTTTCTGCCTGCAACATATATATATATATACAGCAACATAGAATCCTCGAGTTCTGGGATTATATAAACCAGCTGTTTATTGCTAAAACAGTGGCAGACAACAAAACAACTATTTATAAATCTAAAACAATCTTAGCTTTTGCTGGTTCACTGCCAGTGTCGTCAGAGTGAGTGTTGGAGGTGGGGAGTTTTCTTATAAGCCCTGCTGACTCAGTATCCTGCCCATTGATCTTGTGATAGGTCCTAACCAGCTGTAATTGCCTCAATTGATATCAGATCCAGACTGCGTAGCCCACGGTGACCATGGAGGGGGAGGCGATTGGAAAATAGACCAGTGGTAGTAGCATCAGATGGCTGGGGGGGCAAGAAGTACAGGCGGGACAGATAGACAGGCCAGGAGGGGAACAAGGCAAGGAAAGGCAAGGCTGACAGCAATGGGAAGGACAAAGGAAGGAACAACAGGAAGAAAGAAAGTTGCAAAAATGGAATGCAAGCGAGGAGACAATATATATATTGTCTTCTCTTTGATTGAAGAAGTTAACTTGGCCATCTCAGAAAGTTCATCAGCCATTATTCATCATTTTATGTATTGCCTAATCTTTCCATCTTTGTCTACTCCAGTGTTTCTCAACCTCAGCTACTTTAGGTGTTTTTTGATGAAACATGTCTATCAGAGCAACCTGGTCTACCCAACTATGGGATGGAGCATACTGCTTCCACTTCTGCTGATGAGAGCTAAATAGCTCAAAATAGCTATACTAGTCTCCCTTTGTTGGTAAATTTAAATTTAACTCAGTTACTTTAAAATGTGTGGACTTCAACACCCAGAATTCCCCAGTCAGCATGCCTATCACACATGATAAAATGTCCCTTCTTATTGTTGACATTTCCAACATAAATTTGAAGTCTTTTATACATTCTACACAATTTATCTGGTATCATATACCAATGGTGCATCATTTTATATAATATCTCTAACATTGCAACAAAGTGTAATCTCTTGTTTTTGTTTGGTATTCCCCTTGATAAAATTCTTATATCACAATAATTTAGTCATTTGTGCTTAGCTATTATTTCTCTTCTATAAAATGCTTCTTCTGTTTTGAACCACAAAAGTGTTTTGGGGCACAACCTTGGTTTTATCTATTCTATATTCTCAATATGGCATGTCTAACATAATGATAAAAACACACACATTAACCTTGATTTTATCATACTACAAATACCCAGGTCATGTCTTTATAATTCCAAAATATCTCTATTTCTCAGCAGAAAAAAAAATGTTTTGGGTACCAGCTGGTCTTGCTGATGTACATTCCATGCATATGAAACTGCAGATCACCTAGAAGAAAATCCAAGAGCTTTTACAAAAAAAATATATGGAATTTTGCAAATGAAGTTTTCTTATGAGACTAACCATCTGATTTGCAAAACATCATATGTATACATCCAAATACTTTGAAAGAGCTGTTTCACAAAAGATGGAATATGAAGTATCTCTTTGGATATTGTTAAAGAGTTTTTTTTGATTTTTTTTCATTTTTCATGGCACCTTCCAGCCCTCCTCTTACTTCTCTCCACATGTGTATATATGAGCAGTCTTGCTAGAAAACTGTGTACCTCATGTCTTCTATGCTGAATCAGTATTTCTCTGCTATTAATTTATGTGTGGGTACGCATAGAGTGTACATGTATTACAGAAGTTACTAGACCATATTCACATGTATAACTGCATCTAGGGTCTGTTCAGTGTGCATATGGACAATTGCTACTTTCACAAGCAGTCAGTGAAAGAACACTTCAATGTTCCTTTGGAGGGATGTATAGATGCATCGATTGATGTATGGTCAAAATTTCTCTAAAATAATTGTGTGGGAACATCGTAAGTTCAATCTAATTCTATTTAAAGAGGTGTTGCTACAATTTCTTTCAGGATAGATACAGTACATTATTGATCTGTACAGTCTTATTTTCTACTGGACTTTGCTCATGATTTGTCTCTTATTTTTATATTTATTTATTTTTGCTATACCTCCCTCTCTATATATAATGCATTTACTGTATACCCCATCTTTTCTATGGACAGGGAAAGGTCTGCTCTCAATTCATCCTCATAGCAGTACTGTGAAATAGATTGAGCACAGAGTGACTGTCTGGTTCAAATCTTTGCATGAATTTCTGGGTTTAAGTAGGGACTAAAACTGAATCTACCTGTTCCAATCATTACATGGCATTCTACTATTCGTATTTTATATCTTTCCCCAAAACTCTCCTGCTGTTGATCATTCCTAGAATTATGCTGAGGAAAAAAGTAAGCAATAATGTTTTTTCCTTGCATAATCTTTTTAGCAATAGCAAAAGCACTTAGACTTAAACCCGCTTCATAGTGCTTTACAGCATTTTCTATCAGCATGTTGCCCCCAACAATCTGGGTTCTCATTTTACTGACCTCGGAAGGATGGAAAGCTGAGACAACCTTGGGCCAGTCAGGATCGAACTGCTGGCAGTGGGCAGAGTCAGCCTGCAATACTGCATTCTAACCACTGTGCCACCACGGCTTTTTCCCATAAGCTTTTAGGAGGAAAATTGTGCTTAGGAATAGAATGTGTTAGAAAGATCTACTTTATAAAACTTCTTACCCCATAGCAAAGTTAGAGTCCCTCCCATCAGGCCCAATTATCTAATTAAGATCATTATTTCCACCTATATTGTGATTCCAGTTTCTCCATGACTTTTGAACAATTTCTGATCAGGACTGCTGAAAAGGGAAGCTTATCTGTGCATTGGGATCAATGGGCTGCAAAATTAAAACCTCCCTCTTTTCCATCCAGAGTGATCCTAGGGGTGTGACGTGATTATCCTGGATATAATAAGAAAACGACAAGGGTTAAAAACCACTCACGTAATCAGTCTTGGAAGCCCTGATTTGTGTTTCTACTCTAATTTGGCTTGTTTGCCATCAGCCACATGATCAGATAACCATATCTGATTGGGTGTACAGTCTTTGTTCAGCACATAATTTTATGATTGCCTGATACACAAGAAAAAAGGGTTTATTTATTTTTTTAAGTACACAGTGGGAAAGTTGGGAAACAGCATCAGCAAATGTTACAGTGAATGAAGCTTGTCAAGAAGTTCTTTGTATTCCGCTCTTTCAAGAAAGTATCTTTGGCCTAAAAATTAAACCAAGCAGAACCTTGGGTTAGCCTCAAAAACTATGAATATAAATTTGGTTGGACTTTTAAAGTACTTTGCATGGAATATTAGATTAAATAACAAGATTAGTAAATTGGATTAATGCAGAGTTTTAAATGCTGCTTGGGCAATGAAAACAAAAGCTAAAGTGAAATGATCTAAAAACAGATTACCATGGAAAGTATGGTATATAGTCTTCCTGTCTGGTTTTCAATGAGGCTATGGCAATATATCATAAAATAAGAAGAGGAGTGGTAGTAAATGAAAACTTTTATATTAAAATGCATTAGTATATTTTCTGCAGAAATCTTAATAGGCATTTTGAAAATGAATTCGTAATATAATAAATATATACTGTAAATCAAACAGAGCCATTTCAAAATTAAAATATATTTAGTGGGTGGAAGGAGAGTCAGGCTATTTGCTAGTTATGCTCCAAATTCTGTATGTTGTCTGATTCTGCTCCACGCTCCAACACAGGATCCTAAATGTGGCTAAGGATCTAGGCAGATAATTATCAGAGCATATTAAAGCCACATCACAACTTCTTTTGCCAATTCATTTCTATAAATGTTGCTGTTGTATTTTATCCCATTGCAATTGGTGTTTTGTTGATAGGAAATACTGCAGCAGTGATTGAATCTTGAGGATAGTTTCAAAATCGGGCAGTAAGGAGCACAGAATTGCCCCACGGAGATGGGTTTTCATTGCATTTGAGTTCTAATAAGGCTTCAGAGATCTGGGAGAGATGCATTTTTTAACCAATATAAGAGAAATAAAAATGTCAACAACCCTGAAACTAAAACTCTCTGTTTTATATTCAGTGTTCTTGAAAAAATGTCGGGAGATATACCATTAAACATCAATATCAAAGAGCCTCGCTGGGATCAAAGCACATTCGTTGGACGCGCTAACCACTTCTTCACTGTAACCGATCCTAGGAATATATTGTTATCCAATGAACAATTAGAAAAAGCAAAACAAATTGTGCACAATTACAGGTATGCTTTGGGTTTTTCTTCCCCCCGTTTTATTCCACTTTCTCTAGATGGGTAACATTATTCTGGGAACATTATAATAAGATCAGAGAAATCATTTATCTAGGGAAAACAGCTCTTTTGTAAGTTAAAAAAATGTACTTTTAGAATTGAGGAAATAGGAGTCAGGAGTTAATGTTCTGTAACAATGCTTTAGGAGAAAACTAGGAAATCGTGACTCCAAAAATGCTAATGTTTTCACATTAGAATTATTTTGGAGATGAAAAGGAAGCACCAATTAAAGGTAGTCCTCAACGTACGACCACAATTGAACCCAACATTTATGTTGCTAAGTGAGAAATGTGTTAAATGAGTTTTGCCCCATTTTGTGACTTTTCTTGCCACACTTGTTAAGTGAATCGCTGCAGTTCTTAAATTAGTAACCCGGTTGTTAAGTGAATCTGGTTTCCCCATTGACTTATCAGAAGGTCACAAAAGGGGATCACATGACTGTGGGACACTGCAACCATCATAAATGTGAGTTATCAAGCATCCGAATGTAAATCATGTGACCATGGGGAAGCTGCAATGGTCATAAGTGTGAAAAATGGTCATCAGTCAGTTTTTTCAGTGCCATTGAAGCTTCACACAGTCACTAAATGAACTGTTGTAAGACGAAGACTACCGGTATAGAAAAAAGTATGCATATTTTCCTCCAATGATTATGAAACCATGTAGTTTTGATAATTTTGAAAAGAGCAGACATAGATAGAGAAAAATTTCTCACAAGGGGATATGATTTATACTTAAAAAATATTCCTTAACCTTTGGGAACTAAAATATTGGTAGTATTATATTAATGATTAAATATTTGTATGTATTTCCTCTAATCATAAGACAAGGCATTGTGGCCCCTGGGTTAACAGAAGATGAACTCTGGAGAGGAAAATATATCTACGATTCAGCCTTCCATCCAGATACTGGTGAAAAGATGGTTTTGATTGGCCGTATGTCTGCTCAGGTGCCTATGAACATGACAATTACTGGCTTCATGATGACATTTTATAGGTAAGTAGTCATAACTTACTGATAAATAATCGTGAATGGAATAAATATTTTTTCAGACTTGAGTTTTAAAAAATATCAGAGATGTATGTTGAATGTTCCGTAAGACTGCTAAAGGGAACACTTTGCCTTTTTACTAATGATTTCCTCATTTGAACTAATAAACAGTTTTGTCTAGAATTAGTTATGACACGGGCTTCAGATGCTTCTGTCTTTTATCATGACATTTACGATGAGGTGCCCAAATTCTCATCCTATTATTTAAAGCAGGGATCCCCAACCTGTGGGCCGTGGCCCTCTACTATTTGCAACCAGGCCTCGTGAGTGGCTGGCTGGTGTGTGCGTGCACAGCCCTACTGATGCAAGTGTCATAGATGCTCGTGGCCCCACTCACATGAGGGTGGCGGGCGCTCACAGCCCCACTCACATGAGCGTTATGGGCACTTAGAGACTTGAGTGAGTGTTGCAGGCGCTCAGAGCCTCACACAAGCATCATGGGCGCCCTTCTCAGCCCCACTTGTGCAAACAATGGCTGCTTGGAGGCTCATATGCACGTGCGTCACAGGCATTTGGTCCCGCTTGTGCCTCCCCCTCCCACAAAACCATCTCCTCTTCCCTCCCCCCCCCGATTTAAAGCACCCAACAAAGATAATTCAGAATGGATTTTGACAGGTCTAGTCTAATAGTGGCATGTCAGTTCTTCTTCAGAATGTATTATTTGTGCCTGTTCTGTGCTTTATTACTTTTTAATGGTAGGGATTTGTACTTCTGGGTACATATATGTTTATGTCCTTGATTTAATGGCAACAACAAAAAGAATTATATTTTCCTACTTGTGAGCATTTGAAACATAGGCAAATTTTGTCTGACAGGCAAATTTTCTATCAAATATTTCCATGTGAATTCGAAAAACGGTCAAAGCTTTGTTACCATAACAAAGAAGATAAATAAAACATTATTTTCCTTTCTTTGGAGCAATTCTGAAAGAGCTTCCCAGAGGCCTTAGACCACCGCTGGCTTCTCTTTTCATGGTCAATAAAGGAGATCTGCCAGGGATTTTCCTGTGGTAGCCCAAATTTCTACTGTGATTCTTTCTCCTCAATTGCACTCTGATAACATAGGAAGGAGGATAATGGAGGCTTTCATTCTTCAAAAATCCAAAACACTCCCATCATGCTCCAGAACTGTTTTAATAGATTTAGAGCTAAGATAAAAAGAGGAAATGTTTTATTAAAACTTTAACAAGCAATGAAAAACACTCTGCCACTCCATCCTCTAAAGAATACCCATTGCCTCCATTTCTGACGCTGGCTGCAGCAAACTAGGAAGGTACATTGCAAAAAGTAGCAGACATAATTCTCCCACTGACCCCATAACATAAGCAATGGCTATATTCAAACTGTAGCATTTTTCCTAAGACTTTACATACAGGTAGTCCTCAACTTACAACAGTTCATTTAGTGACGGTTCAAAGTTACCTCACTGAAAAAAGTGACATGACTATTTTCCACACAACCATCGCAGTATCCCCATGGTCACATAATCAAAATTCAGATGCTTGGTAATTGATTCGTATTTATGACGGTTAAAGTGTCCTGAGGTCATGTGATCCCCTTTTGCAAACTTCTGACAAGCAAAGTCAACGGGGAAACCACTTTCACTAACTGCCATGATTCGCTTAACAACGGTGGCAAGAAAAGTTATAAAATGGGGCAAAACTCACTTAACAAATGTTTTACTTAGCAACAGAAATTCTGAGCTCAATTGTCATTGTAAGTTGAGGACTACCTGTATATTTCTGCATTTTGTGTAGGTAAACTATTATTCTGTGAAGTAATCCTTAGTTGTTTTAACAGCTCAAAATGAGTTTTTTAGCTCTGGCTCAAAATAATTTGATTCACTCTTGAGTTAATCTGATCTAAACTATGTTTAAAGGATGAAATTTCATTATCATCTGGATAGATTTAATATAAATATACTACAGTACTTTATCTATTATGTTACTTTATCAAACTGAGCTCATATCAAAATTTATTGAAAATTAATTGTCCTTTCCTTCTTCCAAGAACAACTCCAGCCGTGGTTTTCTGGCAATGGATTAATCAATCCTTCAATGCTATTGTAAATTATACCAACAGGAGTGGAGATGCTCCAATTAATGTCAGGTAAAGCCATCAAGATGCACCAAGCAGATAATTCAAGTATGTTGAATAAAATATGCGCTCTAATTTGAAGCTAGGTCTAATATAAAGCTTAACATGAACTGCTGTAGAAAATATTTTGCCGCTATAATCCTACGGGTTTAAAAGTATGTTTTAAATTGATATGATATTATTGAGTCAATATAGACCTGAGGATGCTGGTTCATTAATTTAATTGATTGATAGTTAAAGAGTCTCCCATAAAAAGGGGAGAAAAAAATGAAAAACTGTGGTAATTATCACCATAATGCAGAAAAGAGGGGCCAAATTATTGTAGATTTCAAGTTTCAGATCTGCACTGTTCTGAGAATTGCATGGCCTCTCTGCTTTTTCTGAATGGCTTTCAGCACTATAATGATAATGGATCATAAATTGCTTTGTTAAGATTATTATTAAATCTGCAATGTGGTCTTTCATAGAATGGCTTGACGTGACGACATATAAGCACAAGGTAATCTATAATGGGGAAAAATAGAAGCGATGCTAATTTAATAACAGTAATATATAATAAGCATATAGTGCATTTAAAATATTTAAAGCCCTTCACGTAAATATTATCAGCATACAAAATGCTACTAGATGCATGACTGCCGGGTTATCCCTGTCTGGTACTAAACACAATTTCTTTGCATGTTGACCATCCCGCAAGATCATTTGCATTGTTAAAAAGACTAATTAGGTCACTAATGCATTCTAAGTCATTCATTATGGATTTCAGATGATGGGAATCAGAACACTTCAAAATGCCATGTGCAACTGACTGTTATAGTTTGCAATGTTCCTAACTTCAGTGAGAGTTTTCTAAATATCCTGTGGTTTAAAAATGTAAACTGGTGCCTGGGAAATATAGAAGAGGACCACTTAGAGATGTTAGACAAATAGATAGCTGCATTTAAATTTTAAACAGTGTGGCCTGGAGTATATTGCTAGGAAGTAATGATCTTCAGCAAATCAAGGCACTATGCTTGAGGCAAGGGCATCACCATCTTGATTTTTTTTTCCCCCAACAGCTCTTCATGGAACTAAGGCCAAGTCAGTATTGAAGGTAGAAAACACAGGTTGAGGTATTTATCCTAAGCATAGTCTAATCTTCAACAGAAGCACCCCTAATAGCAGGGGTCTTCAAACTTGGCCCTTTTATGACTTGTGGACTTCAATTCCCAGAATTCTTCAGCCAGTGTGCCTGGCTGAGGAATTCTGGGAGTTGAAGTCCACAAGTCATAAAAGGGCCACATTTGAAGACCCCCCTGCCTTATAGCATGCATTGGCCTTTCAGCTCTTGTGAAAATATCTATTATGTCAAATCACTCTGTTGAAAGTAGGTTTAAATTACTTAAGCCACTTTCAATAGAAGATATAGTCAAGTGTTACTGCACAAGCTACGGGCCACACTTGGCCTTTAAATTACATGCCAGGAGCTACTTTCCAATGAGACAAGGCCAGAACAAAATAGTTAAAATTGAATGAATTAAATATAGTTATTATGTTAACAATTCCTCTGAATAACTTCCTCCTTCTGCCGTCTAAAAATTACAATTGGGGGCAAACTCTGGATGAGTACTAGGTGTCCCACCAAAGGTTTTAAGGGGCCATATGTAACTCTGGGTCCCAAACTATACAGCTCTGGTGTAGCAGTCCATTTTATGGCTTTCTGGCACTCTTGGGAAGGCTGGATATGAATTGCCAACCCAAATATACTCCTTAGGTGTTTCCTGGCCTTAAACTAAAGATTCCTGAGAATGGACCTGCCACAGAGCCATGACTTTTTAAAGCTGAATGTAGATTTTTTTCTACAAGTGTTATAGTGAAATCTAGTCATTAAAAAATTCCAATAAATGTATGCAAGTAATAAAAGCACAAATCCGCCTACTGGCAAAATATTTTCAAGCTTACTCATAGTCATAGTAATTCACTGGGTAATTTTACACTTCCTTTCAGCCCACCCTATCCTACAGAGGAGTTGTTGTGAGATTAAAATAAAGCCACATATATCCCATTGCTTTGAATGCCTGCATGATATAGCATATTTATATAACTAATGAATAAAACAGCATTAAAAGATCAACTAATAATTTCAGGAGATCAAATTAAAGAGAAATGTGTAAACTAAATTCCAAAAGAGAAAAACCAGTTCTAACTGGAAGGAACAGTATTTTATAATTCAGAAGTAATGCAGGGGGGAAAAAGAACATATCCAATTCAGGAGAGCTATTAAAAGTGCTTATGCTGCAAAGATTAGGCAGCTTCATAATGAAACAAGTGAGTCTATTAAGATAACTTAGTAAAAGTAGCATAGTTTTTTTTTTAAGGGAATATCCACCTTTTCCATTGCTTTATCAGTCCCTATTGTCCTTGAAAAGAGACTTTAGAAACACTAGAAAAGAAAACTTCCCAGCCACTAGGTTGCCCTAGTTTATCTTTTGGCAATCTTTGTATTGCTGCCATAAAATAGGTTGCCATTATGCCAGTTATGCAAATAGAATCAAAAACTGAGATTCAGAGCATGTGGTTCTTGTACATATACAAACATTCATATTTTTGTTTTAGCCAGCTGGGAACAGCCTATGTTTCTGCTACCACAGGTGCTGTTGCAACTGCTCTAGGACTTAATGCACTCACAAAGGTATTTCCATTATTCACTCCTTGTTTGAGACTATAGTGTAGATTGTTGTGAAAATTTTATATAACAGTTGTTATATGCATGACGTTAACCTGGCTGATAAAAAAACGATGCATTTATTCTTATTTGTGTTGTCATAAGATCACTGAATGATTGTATAGATCCTCCATGTTGAATTTCTTGGTTTAACTGAATAGTAACTTATGCATATACTTTCCCTGAAATCAGAAAACTAGATATTAGAGACAAAAATATATAGTGAACTCTTATTGTGTTTGTACATGAGTATCTTTCCATATATATTTTGCATATATTTATTCAAATATAAATAGTAAATAAATGTGTCATCAGACACAACTCCTTAGAGAATACAATTTGTACTGAAAATACGTAAGCAGCTGATGCACATAGATACTGAGTACAGTGGGCTCTTGAAAGTTACGTTATATTCTTTGAAATTCTCCTTCAAATTGCCCTGTAGAAAAATCCTCATGACGTATGTAGAGTCTGTATCTTTGCTGTCCACTTCATGAATCAAATAAAAAAGAATCTTTCCTGCAAGGAAAAAAAAAGAATTCTGAGTAAATTGTGACTCATTGACAGAGCAAAGTAGCCTGATTCTAAAATCAGTCACAAGATTGCTGCAGGTTCTTTCTCGGAAGAGAAACTTATTGCAGTTATAGTAACTGTTTCACTATTGTTTAAATGAAAGAAAACAGGTTCTGCTTCCTGAGTTCACTGATAGATAGTGCAGCATGTCTATTTTCAGAAAAATGCAGTGGGGGAAACTATCATTAATTTCTTTTAAGGAACAATATTTAAATACATTACCAAGAGATACAGTTACCGCACATTCTCTGCTGTTTCGATCTGCATTCTTCAGACAGCCGATCATAAAATATTATTACTGTTAGACTTTTTGCTGCTGTCCTTCATGGCTTAAGTCAGGAAAAAAATTAACTAGGGTTAGCCATAGTCAGATGACCCTCTCTTCTTTTTCTGCAGCATGTTTCACCACTTATAGGACGTTTTGTTCCTTTTGCTGCTGTAGCTGCTGCAAACTGTATTAATATTCCATTAATGAGGCAAAGGTAAGATGAACCATAACATGTGATCTTCAGAGCTTCCTGGCAGCACTTGCCATCACTGACTGTGTTCTCCAGCATAAACACACACACACACACACACACACACACACCAAACATGTTCATGTGAAATACGTCATTTTTAAGTTAAGCTAAAAAGAATTTTGAAATGTTTGCCCCATACTTAGTTTCTCTTTCTGTAAGAGTTATACTAACTCCAAGTTCCTTATGAAAGAGATGGTGTTTTTTTTTCAAACTTGGGAAATCAGGAAACATTTTGAAACATTCTTGTCCTTTAGATCTACCAGCAGCACCAATCCAGGAATGTACTGGTTTGCAAAGAACTGCTGCATGTGAGAAGTTGTGAAAGGGGGTTTTCTAAAGCAACTTCACATAAACACAAAATAATTAAGGGTAGAACATAATATCTAAAAGACACTCATGGCCCTTTGCAAGGCACAAAAAGCTATTTTTCCCATCTAGTAGGAATAAAAACCCATTTTTGTATTTCTGTGTGTGTATGAATATTCTCAGTTACTATTTTATCTAGTTCTGTTGGTTTTAATTTCAGATGTTTTTATTGTTATTGCTCTTTAATTGTTAACTATGCAGAATCATGTATGGGTAGACATATTAATTAACTATTAGTTCAGCTATTGAAATTTGAGGAATTGATCTTCAATTTATCAAACCTATCTTATCGACTACAGACAGTCTTCAATGTATGATCACAATTGAGCCCAAAATTTCTGTTGCTAAGTGAGAAAGTTGTTAAGTGAGCTTTGTCCCATTTATGACCTTTCTTGCCACAGTTGTTAAGTGAATTAGCGCAATTGTTCAGTTAGTAACACAACTGTTAAGTAAATCAAGTTTCCCCATTGACTTTGCTTATCAGAAGTTCTCAAAAGGTGATCCCATGACCCTGGGGCACTGCAACCATCATAGATATGAGTCAGTTGTCAAGTGTCTGAATTTTGATCATGTGACCATGGGCAACAGTCATAAGTGTGAAAAATGGTTATCAGTCACTTTTTTCACTGCCATTGCAATTTCAAATGGTCACTTAACAAACTGTTATAAGTTGAGAACTACCTGTATACCTAAAATCCATCTGTGCAATATCATGATGCACAAGGAAAAGAGGCCGGGCTTATGTCATGATGGTGTGATGTCAATTTAGGCATTCTGCACATCCTATGGACCCTATTCAACATCACACAATAAACAGAAGGATCACTAAAAGTTCAGAAATGATTGTGAAATATGACTTGAACCTTGAAAAGACATTGTTGTAAGCATTTGGAGTCCTTTAAGAATGAAACAATGATCTTCTCAGCTCTTTTTCTTTTTCTTTTTTAAAAACCCAACAGGGAACTAAAGTATGGCATTCCCATTACAGACGAAAATGGGAATAGACTGGGTGAATCATCCAAAGCTGCTCAACAGGCAATTGTGCAAGTTGTGGTTTCAAGGATCCTTATGGCTGCTCCAGGAATGGGTGTGTCCCAACTTCCATTAAGTTTAATGCTGACATTCTTCTAACAATTCTTAAAAATTAGAATTACTTCTAATACTATTGTGCTTTTCTCAGAAAAGTAATTGATAGCTCAAGAGCAATTACTCTAGCTCCTTTATCAGCACCTCTTACCCCTAAGGCAGTAGAGAATACTTGTAAGAAACATATGGTATATATGTATTTCAGTATGATGGATCAAAAATCAGTGCTTTTAATATTGAGTAGGAGTGGGATTTATAAAATAACAGAAAATACTTTAACATTTGGAATATTAAAAAAGAAGTTTGAAGAATGGGACCAGAAATTAGTAGCCACAATATCAACAGTATCAGTAATGGTGCGTGCTTCTATGGATAGACTCTATTTAAAGGATGTTAATGAAAGAATGACAGATGTGAACCAAATCTTGTTTGATGAAGAAATAGTAGAATCAGAAATATTGTGTTTAAAAAGTATGGATTACAAGACAAAGAAAGCTGCAAGTGGAAATACTAGTGACAGACCAAGCAGATGACATGAATAAGAACTTTTTACTGGATATCCAAAGGAAGCTGGCTGAAGTTTTAAAAATTAAAGAGGAAATACAAATAGTAAACCAAGAGAATTGCCAAGTTCATGTCTCTTTATTAAATTTACAAAATTTACAAAAGTACTGAGAAGAATGATTGGCCCAAATCATCCAAATTTTAGGGATAAAATTTCTCATGCTATTGAAGCTGCTGTAAAGATTTGCTTAGGGTTCTGTTCTATCTACTGTACATGTTTTAAGAAATGTTTAACTTCTAAATCATCTGTCAAAATATTTTTCTTCCTAAAGCAGCATACAGGATAGCATGAAATTATTAAACACAAAACTTTTGCTTACTGTCTTTTAGCCATTCCCCCATTCATAATGAATACTTTGGAAAAGAAGGCATTTTTAAAGGTAAGCCTATGTTCTCAAAGAGAGTTCTTTTCTGAACCATTTTATTTTATTATTTTATTTTATTTTATTTAAAAGATTTATATGGCCGCCCAACTTAAATAACTGGTTCACAACAGCAATACAATCAATAACTATAAAACAAAAATAAAGCAATAAAATAGTAAATGATAGTGTCTGAAATATTACAAAATAGCCTCTCAGAAATACATGCTGCAGTAAAATTAATTATTCCTCATCATTTTTTATGGAACATCTTGTTTGTGAACATATTCATAAACATTTTAACACTTTAATTATTCCACTGTGTAAATTAAATCTAGTCCATTATTTTAATGAACAGTAATAATATGTTATTATTTATATCCACCGGAAATAAAAAAAAACTGTCTTTCAAACATATTTTAAAGCTGATAAACATAAAATAACTGCCAAGTCAAATTTTGACTAAGATTAGATTGAATCTGATGTCATCTGCTATGAAATAGCTTAGCCTATGGCTACTCAAACAGTGAATTTTCTCCATAATACCAGAAATCTCTTTGGGATAAGTAGTTGAGAGGAGAAAATTGCCTAAAATACAAGACAGATTATTGCATGAAAGAGGCATGAAATTGCCTCTTCAATTATTTAGCCCCTTTTTCCTTATTATAAACAGGAATAAGATACTACATGTTTGAAGTTGAATGATGGAATTTCATCTGTTTAATATAACTGTCTATGTATATTAGGAACTGCAAGCTGATTGCAAGTGCTTAAGAATTTTGTTCAAGTTCTCACTTCTTTCAAATTAATAACTAAAAAAATCAATGTCCACTGACTACTTTGTAATAATACTTATTCTTAACCTGATTCCCCATTAATTAATGTTTAATTCCCAAACATTATTATATAGGATGCTTACAATAATTATGTGAGTACGCTGATGACTAATAACTGATAATGCAAAAGACCTGCAAGGTCTAGTAATAAAAATCAAGGAGCAGGGATGAAAAAAAATGGGAAGTATATAAAGAAGACCAAACTAAATGACTACAGGCACAATAACCACCCGTAGAATTGTCAAGTATGATATCAGAGCGGTAAATAACTTCTGCATTTTAGAGTCAGCCATCAATACAGGTTATGTTATTAATTGCGAAGTCGTGTCCGACCCATCGCGACCCCATGGACAACATTCCTCCAGGTCTTCCTGTCCTCTACCATCTTCTGGAGTCCATTTAAATTCACACCTACTGCTTCAGTGACTCCATCCAGCCATCTCATTCTCTGTCGTCCCCTTCTTCTATTGCCCTCAATCTTTCCCAGCATTAGGCTCTTCTCCAGTGAATCCTTCCTTCTCATTAGGTGGCCAAAGTACTTGAGTTTCAACTTCAGGATCTGGCCTTCTAAAGAGCAGTCGGGGTTGATCTCTTCTAGGACTGACCGGTTTGAACGCCTTGCAGTCCAAGGGACTCGCAGGAGTCTTCTCCAGCACCATAGTTCAAAGGCCTCAATTCTTTTGCGCTCAGCCTTTCTTATGGTCCAACTTTCACAGCCATACATTGCAACTGGGAAAACCATGGCCTGGACTATACGCACTTTTGTTGGCAGGGTGATGTCTCTGCTTTTTAGAATGCTGTCTAGATTTGCCATAGCTTTCCTCCCCAGGAGCAAGCGTCTTTTAATTTCTTGGCTGCAGTCCCCATCTGAGGTGATCTTTGAGCCCAGAAAAATAAAATCTGTCACTACCTCCATTTCTTCCCCATCTATTTGCCAGGAATTGAGAGGGCCGGATGCCATGATTTTGGTTTTCTTAATGTTGAGTTTCAAGCCTACTTTTACACTCTCCTTCTTCACCCGCATCAAGAGGCTCTTTAGTTCCTCTTCACTTACTGCCATTAGAGTGGTATCATCTGCATATCTTAGGTTGTTGATATTTCTCCCGGCAATCTTAATTCCAACTTTTGATTCATCTAGCCCTGCCTTTCTCATGATGTGCTCTGCATATAAGTTAAATAGGCAGGGCGACAGTATACAGCCTTGCCGGACTCCTTTTCCAATTTTGAACCAATCAGTGGTTCCGTGTTCGGTTCTCACTGTTGCTTCTTGACCCGCATATAGGTTTCTCAAGAGACAAATGAGATGGTCTGGTACTCCCATCTCTTTAAGAACTTGCCACAATTTGTTGTGATCCACACAATCAAAGGCTTTTGCATAGTCAATGAAGCAGAAGGTAGATGTTTTTCTGGAACTCCCTAGCTTTCTCCATGATCCAGCGTATGTTGGCAATTTGATCTCTGGTTCCTCTGCCTCTTCGAAATCCTGCCTGTACTTCTGGTAGTTCTCGATCCACATACTGCTGGAGTCTAGCTTGTAGGATTTTAAGCATAACTTTACTAGCATGTGAAATGAGTGCAATGGTGCGATAGTTTGAACATTCTTTGGCATTGCCTTTCTTTGGAATTGGAATGTAAACTGACCTTTTCCAATCCTGTGGCCACTGTTGAGTTTTCCAAATTTGCTGGCAAATTGAGTGTAGTACTTTTACTGCATCGTCTTTTAAGATTTTGAATAGCTCAGCTGGAATACTGTCACCTCCACTAGCTTTGTTGTTGCTCAGATTTTCTAAGGCCCATTTCACTTCACATTCTAGGATGTCTGGTTCGAGGTCAGTGACCATCTCATTGTGGTTATCTGGGATGTTAAGCTCATTCTTGTATAGTTCTTCTGTGTAGTTTTGCCATCTCTTCTTAATCTCTTCTGCCTCTGTTAGGTCTCTGCCATTTTGGTCCTTTATCATGCCCATCTTTGCATGAAACGTTCCCTTCATATCTCCAATTTTCTTGAAGAGATCTCTGGTCCTCCCTGTTCTGTTGTTTTCTTCTATTTCTTTGCACTGTTCATTTAAGAAGGCATTCTTATCTCTTCTAGCTACTCTCTGGAATTCTGCATTCAATTGGGTGTATCTTTCTCTTTCTCCTTTGCCTTTCGCTTCCCTTCTTTCCTCAGCTATTTGCAAAGCTTCCTCAGACAGCCATTTTGCTTTCTTGCATTTCTTTTTCTTTGGGATGGTTTTAGTTGCTACCTCTTGTACAATGTTGCGAACTTCCATCCATAGTTCTTCAGGCACTCTGTCTATCAGATCTAATTCCTTAAATCTATTTGTCACCTCTACTGTATATTCATCAGGAATATGATTTAGTTCATACCTGAGTGGCCTAGTGCTTTTCCCTACTTTTTTCAATTTAAGCCTAAATTTTGCAACGAGAAGCTCATGATCTGAGCCACAGTCAGCTCCTGGTCTTGTTTTTACTGACTGTATAGAGCTTCTCCATCTTTGGCTGCAGAGCACATAGTCAATCTGATTTCTATGTTGACCGTCTGGTGATGTCCATGTGTAGAGCCGTCTCTTGGGTTGTTGGAAAAGAGTGTTTGTTATGACCATCGTATTCTCTTGACAAAATTCTATTAGCCTGTGCCCTGCTTCATTTTGTTCTCCAAGGCCAAACTTGCCTGTTATTCCGGTTATCTTTTGGCTTCCTACCTTAGCATTCCAGTCCCCCATGATGATAAGGACATCATTTTTTGGTGTTAATTCTATAAGGTGCTGTAGGGCTTCATAGAACCGGACAATTTCATCCTCTTCAGCACCAGTGGTTGGGGCATAGATTTGGACTACTGTGATATTGAATGGTTTGCCTTGGATTCGAATTGAGATCATTCTGTCATTTTGGGGATTGTATCCCAGTATTGCTTTTCCTATTCTTTTATTGACTATGAAGGCTACTCCATTTCTTCTGAGGGATTCTTGCCCACAGTAGTATACCTGATGGTCATCTGAGTTAAATTCACCCATTCCTGTCCATTTTAGTTCGCTGATTCCTAAGATGTCGATGTTCAGTCTTGTCATCTCTTTTTTGACTACGTCTAGCTTGCCTTGATTCATGGATCTTACATTCCAGGTTCCTATGGAGAAAAAATCTTTACAGCATCGGACTTTCCTTTCACCACCAGATATATCCACAGCTGAGCGTCCTTTCGGCTTTGGCCCAGTCGCTTCATTCTTTCTGGCGCTACTAGTACTAGCCCTCTGCTCTTCCCCAGTAGCATATTGGACACCTTCCGACCTGAGGGGCTCATCTTCCAGCGTCATATCTTTTTTCCTTTTAGTACTGTCCATGGGGTTTTCATGGCAAAGATACTGGAGTGGTTTGCCATTTCCTTCTCCAGTGGATCACATTTTGTCAGAACTCTCTGCTATAACCTGTCCGTCTTGGGTGGCCCTGCACGGCATAGCTTATAGCTTCATTGAGTTACGCAAGCCCCTTCGCCACGACAAGGCAGTAATCCATAAAGGGGGTAATCCATAAAGGGGGATTCAGGTAGTCCTCAGCAAATGATCACATTTGGGACCAGAATTTTAGTCATAACCTGACACGCCCATGTGAGTGGATCCAATTTTATGACTGTTTTTAGGATTGAATGAGTCAAATAGGCATAATTATGAATCCATTATGCTGAATGGGTGTTTTTTTGTAAGAAACCATCAAAGAACACCAGAAACTGGCCAAAAACATCCATCCCAAAACAAAGTCACATGATTAGGGAACACTGCAACCAGTTATAAATGTGAGCCTCTTGCCAAGTGCTGAAATGCAGTCATGTGACTATTGGGGAAGGGAACGACATGACATTTTACAATGGCTAGAAGTGCATTACGGGCCATAAAGCACCCTTTATGAGATTTCATGATTTCAAAGATCATTAAATGACAGGTTGAAGTCAAGGGCTATCTATAGTAAAGAAACAAATAATCAATAAATACTCCACAGACTAACACTTGGAAGAACAGCCACTGGAAGATCTTAGGAAAGATATTCAGATGTCATGATACTATATCTACAAATGGTGCAAGACATAGCATTTCTTGTGACACTCTAAGGAACTGAAAGTTGGAAGAATAATGATGCTTTTGAACTTTGATGTTGGAGAAGACTTCCGAGAATACCATGGACAACCAA